GTTCAAAGATAAGCCGGCTTATCACGGCTTGCTGCGGCTTAATGCGGCTTATCACGTGATAAATTCGAATTTATCACTAAGCATGTGATATCTTCGAATTTGTCACATGATATTTTCGCGATTATCACATGGCTTGGTGATAAACTCGAATTTATCACGTGATAAGCCGCATTAAGCCGCAGCAAGCCGTGATAAGCCGGCTTGTCTTTGAACACTAGTAGTACAGTAGTACGTAGAATGATTGTTTTCTAAATAAAAGTCTTTCAATTTTGAGACTAATTCGAGGTTATTTTGTAATGGAGGTTAATGTGCTTGAATAATCAAATCCTTTTATTTATTTATTTTTTTTAGTTAGTTAAACGTAAAAAGTATATATAAATAAGCTACCAAGCAATTCCTCACTTCGCGAGAAATAACGATAACAAGACTAATTATTTTTAATCACACTAAATGAAAAATAAAATTGAAACCAAATTTGAAATTGTATCTCAAATATTTAGTTTAATAGCCAAATAGAAGCCAAACACTAAACATAAATCCCTTAAGCTTTAATCAATTTGTTTCTTACATTATTTTGAAGATAAATACATATAGACAATTTTTTTTTTTTTTTTTTTTTGATTTTCGAAGGTTCTATACATAAGTACAGTAGAAGTTCTAATAATACAATTATATAAGAATAGAAATAATATATATAGTTGGACTAAAAAAATAAATAATAAAGCAATTCCACATTATCTAAACCTCAATAAAATTAATTAGACAATGCAAAAAAAATTCAATAAAGATTATATATATAAAGTCATCCGACCGGGGATAATAAGAATGACCTTAGCATTCTTATTTATGATAGCAACTTTTCGAGCTTCTTCATTGAAAAAGAGGCTTTAGCAATATTCATTTTTTCATGTGGTAACCGATTTTACTATTGCTTGTTATCAACGCTCCATTGTGATAATTCTAATTCGTTTAATTCTTTTTTTATTATAGTTGAATCTCTTGAACTTTTTGGATTAATATTATCTTCTATATTTCGATAAACATCTACAGTATTTTCCATTTGATCCAATAATATAGTAATCCTATTTTCAGAATCATGTAATTTACGTTCCAATTCTGAATTTGTTTTTTCAAGTCTGCGAATCAAAGTTTCTTTTTGTTCAACTCCATTATCTTGCTTTTTCTTATCAGATTCTTGATCATTTTGGTTACCCAACGCTTCATTCAATTGTTTATCTAATAAAGCATTCAATGATAAAGCTTCTTCCAATTCTTCTTTAATTTGTTGATGCTCCTTTATTAACTTTTTGTTTTCTTCTTGAATTTCGGATAATTCTTTATTAAAATCTTCTTTTTGTAATTCGAGTTGTTTATTTGCAAATTCATGAATTTTGGATTCTCTAGCACCGATGCTTACAGATGTTCGATTTTGTACCTCCACTAATTTCTCTTCTAATTCTTCATTATGTTTTTGCATAGACTCAAGTTGTGTCTTTAATTTAGCTGCTTCGGTTTTACTATTTTGTAATTCAACTTTTAGACGTCTCAACATTTTTTCTGTACCTTGTACATAATGCATAGCAGTATTATAATCATTTACGACTTTTGCTAATTTTTCATTGGTTTCAATAATTTGTTTTTGTAATTCATTATTTTTCATCTCGATCGATCGTTTTTCATCAGTTAATTGTTTATTGCTTTCTGAAGCACTTTCATTTGTTCTCTCAAGTTCCTTTTCGAGT